TATTGGTCACTGATAATAGTGCGGTTTTATTCTTACACAAGATAAGCTTTTAGCTATTATCCTCGCTAAATTACACATTTCTTAAATTGTCTAGAACAAATGTGCTATAAATTTTTATAAATTAAACACGGGGAGAATTTTTCCACTAAATGTAAGTGCAAAAAGTGACAAGTCCACGTTCCGAAGTTTAGAAGTAAAAATATTTCTATTCGATCGTAAATTTCAAGTTCTTGTAAGTTTATTTGATACTTAAGAGGTGTCTTAGTAAAATAATTACTTAGGATAATTTTAAAATTACTTACAACAACCCAAAATTCACGGTTGAACAGAAATATTTTTATTACGAAACATGGACTTGTCACTTTTTACTTACAGTTAGTGCACAAATTCTCTCCGTTAGTCGTAAACGTCTTAACCTAAAAAATCGAGGAAATATGTAAGTATGAATGACTTCCATTATTTTCCTGTTGCTTATGATTCAAACGGACTCTATGTGTTGTAATAGAAGAGTTATTTATAGTCAAATGTTATACACTCTTAGAGATAATTTTAGCAGTGATTCAATGAGAATAATATATAAATTTCAATGTCATCGCAATGAAGTTATGATTATATGAAAGAAAAGGTTATTATAACGGGGCACATCAGAAATATCATGACTATAATTTAGCTACTATACACAATCTGTAATTAGCCATTGATTTTTTTTTACACATAAAGATACCTATTGTAGATGCTAGAGAGATATGTGATGTCATATATGTGACATACATCTCTGACACGTGCTTATTAGTACTCAGGGTAGATCGAAAGAAATAATCGAAATTCAGGAGCACGGCTTAACTCGTGCGACAGACATGGCTCTTGTATCAAGTGTCTGTTGTTCGATCGATTGCCATTGCCACGCAGAAACTAGCTGCACTTCATCGTTCCTCTATACCGTCGCTATGTATTATTGGCATGATGGATATAATTTCACAGATAAACAACCGATAAAACGAAAAAGCATTGCCTTGTCATATTAAAATTCAATTATATTATGTTGAATATCAATTGTTTCGATGATAAATTTTCATTTTCCCTTTTTCAATGTGTATACATATTCATTTGTACAAATATTGCAAGAGGAAAATTGATGTAAATAGTCTTTACATCAACTCTCAATGATGCTTTAATCATGGAAAATAATGTTTTTCTTAAATTTAAAATTGCTATTTCAATAACTACATTATTCGATATTTATTAATTCAATTGTAAATTTTTATCTGATTATTACAATCACTTTTACTGACTGACATTTCAATTTATACGCCAATATTTCTCTCAATAAATAGATAAAGAATATTTGTAAAAAAAAAAAAGAGGATTATTGATTGACATGAATAATTGGAGAAAAATGTAAAGTTTTTGAAAACAAGTAATACGATGTAACGTATTGGAAATATTAGAAGAATGTTTTCATTATGAGGATAAAAACTTAATCATAAAATCATGAATTTATTTTCTAGAAGACATTTTAATGTTCAATTTTCAAGTTAATTTTAACTGCAACTTGGTTTCATAATACAGAGTTTTGCACAACCATAAATGTCACGAAGAAGAGTGATGTTTGAAAGTAAAAAAGTTGTCTGACCCTTGACCAAAAAAAAGATTGAGTAGAAATTAACTATATTGGACAGGAAGTATTTTCATGATTGACTCTCTTGATGATACAATAAAATTATTATTACAATGGCCCAATATTTAGTGAGCAAAGTAGTCATAAATGTTTAAAGAATAACAATTGGTAGTCAAACATTTTCTTCAATACTCATATTGCGTAAAGAAGATCAAAGGTAAAATGCTGACGAACAAAACTAAAAGATTTGAACTTCAAGTTTAAACATGATGACGATAGACAGCTGGTGTAGATTCTCTTTCTTTCAAGAGTAAAAGATCTAAAAGGGGAAAGGTGTGCGAAGGTAAAGCAAGAGAAAAGAGCTGAATTGAAAAGAATCGAAGAGTTCAAGAACCATTGGAAAAGTATGGGACAAGTTATTGCGATTTGATCTCTATTGGATCTATTGAAAGTTTTTATCAGTAAATCAGAAATATACAAAATGGAAATAAAACATCGACGTACAATAAATATAATGATGAAGATTAGTTGAAGCTATCAGAAAACCAGAAGTATGTTAATCAGAAATTTTTTAGTTTCATATTTCATTCGGTCTTTATTATGATTATTAGATTATCTTGAACTCAAACGTATTGTCAATTTGGCGTCAACCCAAATGTCTATTGGATAAAATTTTAAGTCTATTATATTGGCACCGCATAGTCATTTACATACCAATAGCCGTTACTAGTCCTTAGAAAAGTAACCAAGTAAACACTAACTTGATCTACAGATATTTTTTAAACTTCAACAAAGTTGCAACTCCAATGAATGACATTTATTAACCTTTCACCCAACATTTTTACTTTATCACTCAAAAAAAAAAAAAAGACACTTATTTCAACTATTGATAATATTGTTTGGAGTATTTTAACTTAAAAGACTCCAAAACATTATTGAGATAGCAAGGTGTTGGTATTTTTCAATTGTTTTATAATTTCAAGGAAAAGAATTCGAAGAAAAGTAGACGACTAAATTTCCAAGAAAGTGACATTATAAATCACCATCTGACATTAAAACTATCACACTGTAGATGAATTCCAGGAGAAACAATGTAAGAAAGTACAAGGTCAAAAACCCTATCCATACGATTTGAAATGCTAGTACGAAAGAAACAATTTGATCTAACATGTACATACACTGTAAATAAACGCACAAATTTCTGATTTTGAAAGATTATTTGAGAACAAAAAGGAATAATTTATCACATCAACACAATTTAATCGTAATAAAACTTAATAGCACTGAATAAAATGAATAATGAATTAAGACGATGATCTGAGGGATGATTGAACAAAATAGTCTACTCACAGGTTGAATGAATCCGATGACAAAATTGGCGCACATACTGTACAACAGAGCAAATATCACTGTCACACGTATATAATTAATTGAATTCACGCACGTTTGGGCTTAACAAAAGTAGCAGCCTACAAATAATCCAAAAGCAGATCAATTGAAGATACACCGGGGGAGATTGGTTTTTGGTAGCTGTTTAGATTTCTGGTGTAGGGGCAACGTGGATGCAATGAAGAACGCGGCGCTGTTTAGAGGAAAAGATATCCTGCAGTTTCTTTGTGCTTAGCCGCTAACTGCGTCCCCACACTTCTGTTTTTCTCAACGTTTTAGCTTCTGAACATGCACCAGATGTGATCACACGCCAGAAAGTAACAAGGAAACTATTCACTGATGTAATTGGAGTAATATCCTCTGATGTATGTAGGGTCACTTTGGCCTTCGAGAAAGAAAATAAAAATCACAGTGTTCGACACTTGACACTGAATCTCGACACTTGCACACTCACAAATATCCGATAAATGAAAGAGAAGTAATTGAAAAATATCAAAATGAATATAAAAGTAGTCACTGAACTGTAGTTTGTGATAAAAAATTGAAAGGGTATCCTCATAAAGAGAGTCCCACAGACGAAGGGTCTCACGAGATTGAGGACTATAACGCGTATGTGCCAAGTGTAATTTTAAATCAACTCGAGTACGAGATGAGCTCGATCCGCTCTTGACTACGTCAGCGGCGAAACTAACTGCTAGCGGAGCAAGAGAGCGTCGCTCTCCCCCTCCATGCTGACAAGAATCTTCCCCTCCATGGCTGAAAGGTAACCCGGCGTTACCGCTCGACCCGGTCCGTCTGTTGTCTCACTCTGTCTACGTTGCCAGTACACAAACTCCCTTCACTCGATCTCTGTCTCTTCTGCTCACAGAACTCGATTGTGAATGCTTTCCTCTACTCTCCCACTATTTCTTTCTCCCACCCTCACTCTCAATGCCGATCCAACTCCTGCGCCCTCTCTTGCGCATCATCCTACCTACCTACATGCCTTGCTCCTTTCATTCCACCTTTCTCTTGCTCTTCAGGTACACTAATGTCATCTCTTTTTCAGCCTTGGCGACCGGTGAACGTGTTCGGTATCTCTTGGTTCCTCTCCAAGCCAAGAGGCAACCGTTAGGACTCAGTGCCGACCAACTAAGGGTGCTCTCCTTCTTTAGAGATAACGCAAGGTCTTCCTGTCGCTGTCAGTTATCGCAGGGAAATTCACAATTCGTAAGGGAATAATGTATAGATATGTACCTATGTATATATATGTGAAATATAAGTGATAAATTACAACTAAATTTTTCTTCCAAGGTTTTCAAAACCATGTTTTATTTTATTTTTTTTTTTGTTCGTAACGTATGTAAATGGAGTTAATTTTTGCATTCGCACAATGTAATATATGACACGATAAAGTAGCACGAATTTGCGTCGCTTGCTGATGCAAAATGTTCCCGCTTCACCTAGACACGTCTCTGTGTACACCATACCAAGGTATCGCGCAACTAAATTTATTTCTTCGTATCTACCTAGGCTATACACCGCTGTTGAAAACCACCCCCGGACAAAAGAGGCCACCTCCTATCTCGGTAATCGCATAAACAAGCTGGATCGCGATCTTATAACTCGTGAAAATGTACGATCGTAACCGAGTGCTTGGTAGATTTATAAAAGTTACCTTTCTCTCTTACTCTTTTTCTCTCTGAATACACATACCATTCAATTTGAGTTGCTAAAGATTTTTCTTCATTTCGTTCTCGCAAATTTTACACTTGACTCGAAATATGAATATTAATCCAAACAAAATTTTCCCTAAAAATTTAATTGCAAATAAAAAATTGTTTAATTAGGTTCCTCCTTTTTTTTATTTTATTAATTTAAAGAATATTAATACTTAGAAAAGAAATTCTTTCTGGTAATAGCAATTAGATATTTCATGAAATCGTTCATTAAATTCATCAATTTAACCTCACATGAGCAATAAAAAAATTATTGATGCTTGAAATCTACTTACGTGATCCTTATCCGAATAATGTTGTGGAATCTTCTGAGTAGTTGTTCTACTATCTGCAATAATAAAAATAGATGCTTTAATAATCTTGATACGTATCTAGCACGCAAAAAAGAGATTACATACACTCGTATATATATATACACACACACATTAGTTGCAGATTTGCATTAGAGGGATTTCCATAATCCCTTCTAATACCAATAATTCTATTATTGAGACTCTTTTTTTAACACAAATATCAGTGTATAAAATAATCGACAATGAAAGTTGGCATATGCAAAACCGTGTTTTGAATCAATTACTTCACATTTCATATTCATACTATTTGTTATAGTTATACTAAAATACGTCAAAAAATACTGTTGTTTTCGTTTATATAAATTCAAATGTGATAAATATTCTTAAAAAAACCACGAAGAGAAAAAGCAACTGTTCTTTTAATTTTTTTTCAATTATAAATTGATTTTGAACAGTTGTGGAAAGTTGATAATTTCTCAGGGAATTATAACACAGTTGTAACAAGTCTTATCATGTAACTTTTAATAACAAGCCATAAAGTAATTATATCTTAGAACTTTTTGCTAAAAAAAATTGTGAAATGTATTTGATGTATAGCTAGTAATATTTATTTTTAAAAAATTGGAAAATTTTTCTACCAAAATAGGAAATGTCTAGAAGATGAATGGAAATGCTTTAGTATTCAAATTTATCCTCATGTGTATATATTACCGATTATGACGAGAAACATTTTATCTATAGACTCGTTGATTGTGTATGAAAAAAAAAATATACAGACATACAGAAAAAAATAGACTCGTTAAATTACGTGTAATTACACGAGATAATCGCTGCAATCTTAAACGTAATGAGCCGGAGACAAACTATCAACGACAGTTGAAATGTAGTCAAGTCAATGAAAAAATAGAAAAGCACAAAATAAAAACTAGTATATACAGTAATTTTTCATTTGCTTCTCATACATCGTTGGTTTTCTTTTAATACAGCAGTTGGACTACATATACTTCAAGTATTTTTTCAGTGTGAGTTACATCGAAAAACAAAACAGACGTTTAAAACTGGGTTGTCTCTCATTAACTTGGCACTACGGTCATTCGTTCTTCGATTCTTCTTTGGGAATGCCTGAGGGGAAGCTTTTCGTTTTGGTCCAGACAGTCTAAATAGTCTCTCGGGATCATAAAATGATTCCCCGTTGTCGTTCTGCCAATAAACTTCAAAGAGTACGAATAAGACATCATGTATGTGAAAATTAAAGTGTTCAATTTGTGCTAATGATCATTAACATATTTTTTCTTTCATTAAAATTACATCATCATCATTTATTCTGTTAATTTTTAATGAATCTTTACATATCCTACTTCACTCAAATGCTTCATCTTGATCTAGATTTTCCTAATAGTAAAATAATCATTACCGACATAATTATCTACTTATAAAATAATTTCTGCTATCTAAAGAAATGTGTTTTCAATGTATAGCATTAGTACAAATGACTCCAAATGCAATAAGTATTTAAGAAGCTAACAATGATATAATTTTATTGGTGTACGATTTTATCTAATACCATAACGATAGTTCAAGAATAAATATACACGATTGGGTTCGAATACCTATAGGTCACCTACCCATGCACCAAGTCTCTAACACGCCTAAAAGGCACAGAATTTTCAAAGAGATGAGGAGAAGTAAGGAAAGGAGAAAGAGCAAGAGAGAAAGGCCAAAGCTGCTGGATGGCAGTGGTTTGAAAGCTGAACACAAGCCAGTGAAGGCCTCTCTTCCACATAGTTTCTACTCGACTGCTCTTCGGAGCAGCTGCCAGTCGACGCCTTTCCTTGCCACCAACAATAAATTTAATACTAAAGCCATACTTTGACATACGTCGATACAAAATTATTAACAACAGACTATCTATATATAATGGTGATGATAATAATAATGATGATGGTAATCATATAAGACAAAGGCTAAAAAACAATACAAATATGAACGTAATTACCTCGAATAATTGTTTTGAAGTGTTTCCTTTTTTTACAGTCATTTATGGATTCAATTAGCAGCTATATAATGAATTACTTCAAGTAAATTGTTTGTTGAGTGATGATGATGATGATGATAATGATATTTTATACTGAATAAATATGTATTAAAGTATATGTATATAAATAATTCGACATGAGCTCAACACATATTGATCCTGTAATCGAAATGTCGATATTCAAGCAACCTCTCATTTTCATTGAGAATCATAGAATATACTGCAAGCAGAATATTTACGCAACTTGCATATCTCCACCAGCTCTCTGGTGATATTAAGCCTTTTGAACGTGCATTTTCAAACTCAACAAAAATTTCATAAGTTCATACTAGAATTATAAGTGTTAAATTCAAATGCCAATCAAATAGACAATGCAACAGGCAATTAACTTTTTTTTTTATTGAATAAGAACTTGCATAATCAATAGAAGAGTGTATTATATTTGTTAGATGGGAAGGATTATAAATTGAAAGATACTTTATGAATGTTTAATTAAAAAAAAAGAAGAAAGTTTTTAATGATTCTAATGAATGTTAATTAATGTCCTGGTGATGAAGACAAGAGACATTCTATTGTGGTATATTATCAAATGAAATTGGTATATGTAGACAACATAATAATGAAGAGGAAGTATTAAAGCCAAGAGCTTCGTTCGTCGGACGACAGCCAGCCAACTTTGATTAATATACCCTTAATTAAGGCCCTACGTCCCCAGGTATTGTTATTTGCTATCTACCGCTCACAGAGTACGCAAATGATTTACTAACGAAAGTATACATCACGTGGATTACCTTGTTCAATCCTTTATTACAAGCGACTCTGTTATTCAGTGAATATTTTACGCAGAATCATATCGATTACATAATTAAAACTTTTAATATCTCAAAGGGAAATTTAATCGTGTGGTTTCATTATAAATTCACTCGTGCTTACTTTATATATTATACATACTTGCAAGCTAATTTTTTATCAAAAAAATGAAGTGAGTAGTAACGATGACAACTGAAACAACAGTCTAGATATTTTTTAAACTTTTAATTTTTTTAGTAAATCTTTACTCCATCAATTGGATCGAATCAATTTGATTATTATTCTTTGATTAATTAAAGGACATCAATAGCATGTCACTTGTACACCGATAAATGATCAGCCATGTTTTCATGGGATGAAAATGTCACGTAGAGAAATGGTTATTCATCCCTTCAGGCAGAAAGGACACTACGAATCATAATATTCTCGCGTATATGAATGCACTTCCTGTTTTCACTAGCTCATCCGTTTTACGTTCAACCGAGTATAAACGTTTTCGATCAGCATCCACGATGCATGACCGACTTCACTCGATCTCACAATCCAATATCTGGTTTAGCAAACGCAATAGCTATTTTAGTGAAGGTACACAAGATATTATTGCGGATAGTAGATGGAAGGAAGTATCCTCTCCAAAATATGTTGTATGTATGTAAATAACCGCCATATATGTTTATATCTGTATCTATACTTTATATTATATATCATATTTATTTAATACAGTTAAATGTTTATGTACGGAACCTTGCATGTAATTTATCCGGTACATGGAATCTGTTACTCAATGCAAAACATTTACAACCTATTTTTATTCAAATGTGTTTTATGACAGAAAATATTTTTAAACTTTTAATTTATCATTGTTGATAAATCTTTTTATTCTCCATTGTCATCATTATGTTCTGAAAATATTGATATAAAAATTTATCCAAAGTCAAGCGTCGAAAGTTTCCCATACTAGTGTACTGAATCAGACGTCAGATGATAAGACTTTATCGGATCCAACCACTCTGTGTATGTAGATAGACGACACAAATATACCCAACGCGTCAGTCATGCCGATTCGTCTTCTCAGGTCAATATTGACGTGGGTCTCTGGTCAACGATTATCTTCGAGCCAGAAACTCACGCTTTCAGATAAAACATATCCGCCGGCTCCAAAAACGTTAAGATTATAAGGAAATGAGGAAAAAAAATCCTCCTTCAGGATTTTTAAAAATATTTTTCTAAACAAATGTGAGGAGAAAGTTCTCTGCTTCATTTCATCTTTTAGTATCCAACTGATTAGAGACGTTGACAGTTATCCAGTCTTTACGGAGTAAAATATGAGTCCACGTAGGTGGTATTGCTCCATTTTATCTCAAGTGCATTAATACAAAGTTATATCAAATCTTTAATTCACTGAAGAGGTTGAAAAATTTGTAGGGACAATAAGAATTACAAACTCAAGCTATTATATCACCAATTTCAAATGATAGGGGCACTTCTGTGTGTAGTATACCACTCAGATGTATTATAAAGAAAGTGTTCATTGATATGAGAATGTGAATGTGTGTGTACTTAAGGATCGGAGAATTTCAGAAGGGAGGAGGGCAGCGAGAAAATAGGGCGTGGTGTCTCACCTTGGGTAGTCGCTTCAGATTTCGGTTTCCGGTTTACACTCACGCAGCTCTGTTAGCTTTTAAAACGTATATCGAGCACTCAAATGCATGCAGGTGTGTAGTCTTTGCTTACGAAAAAAAAATTCAGATAATAATGAATTCAGCTACATAATAATTATATAGGATGTGGATAATAATCATTTTAAAAATCAAACATTCTGTTTTTCATGTAATCAAATATTATTATAAAATACTCAAAATGGCTTATCGAAATTACGCGGTTAAACATTTAATTAGATATTTTAAATGTTTTAAGTGTAGGGTATTTGGAAATTAAATTATTTTATAGCAAAGCTGAGGATAAAGTTTTGTATGAAAAATTATTATGATGTCATTATGTTTGAAATTAATATTTTTTTTATTACGTTCCAGTGATTTTATTTTCGAGGACTGCATTGGACACGCCAAAAACCGTAGCAAACAAACTAAATAATATTCTTCACAGCTTCACAAAAGCTAGGTCAAATTCATGTGAAATTATAATAATTTCGTAGCGAAATTATTGGGCTTTTGGGGAGCTGAGGATCGA